GTTCCTGCTGCATTCACCTCACCTTCTGCAGCCAAGCAGGACTCTGGGGATGCTCAGAGCATGGCAAGTCTGACTCCCACTGCTCTGGCTCTCTGAGATGCTGTTGCTGCAGCAAAGCAATTAAATAGTTTCTGCAAAATGAACACAGGGACTCGGGTCTGCCCGCTCCTGCCTGTGGTCACCCTCTGAAGCAGATGCTGAGTGAGCAGGTAGCATCTGGGATGCAGGGAGGAGCTGGGGGGTGCAAGGGGAGGATGCAGGGAAGGAGCCTGTTTGGGAAGTGGGGTGAGGACGTGGGCAGGCGGTGCAGAAGAAGGGGTGTGAAAATCAGCCCCAGGCCATGTCATTCTCACTCAAAGCTGTACCTGAGATGCTCCCCCTCGCCTCCTCCCTCAGCCCAAATGCTGATCCGGGCTGCAGCATCTGTGTGAGGGCTGTGCTGCTGGGAGGGTGCTGGGACTCCAGAGGAGCCCCTGCTCATCGGTTTTACATCAGCTCAAAGCAGCAGCTGTAATTTGGATGGTGTTTGTGTCCCCTGGGCTGGCTTGGACACACTCGGTCCTATCTCTGCCACCCAGGGTCCCTGTCTGGTTCCAGACCTGCAGCACCAGGCACTCTTTGGACTGGGAGCCACACGCCCAGAGGGCTACAGGAGGGGACCAGCAGGCCAGCGTGCCCTGTTGTCACGTCAGCATGCTCACTAGCTTTTAGAGCACAGCCGTGACCGTGCCTTCAAGCACTGTAATACCTGCACAAAACCCTCCGGTTTTCCCTGGAAACCTCTTCCTTCCTTTTTCCTCACCGTTTTCCCCAGGACCATTTTAGCATTGACCCCATCTCCTTCTCCAGCAAATCCCACCCCCAGCCCCTGTCTCGACCACAACCTCTCCCAGCTCATTCCCAGCACCCTGCCTGCTTTCCTCCAGGAGATTTGAATATGAATAAACCCTCAACTGAGGAATGTGACGAACACCACCACGCCAGCTCCTGCTGCTCATGCCAAGCCAACGCTATTTGAGGCCGTGATGAAGCGTGCAGCCCCCCAGTCCAAGCCTCGGGAAAACAGCCGCCTGCTCGGGGACCCGTGGGGTCCCAGAGGTGTTGCAACGCCGTCCCCGGCTTATGTGGCCTCGGCGAGGCGAGAAGCTCCTCTGGCTGCAGCCCTGTCTCCTGGAGACCCTCGGGATGCACTGGCCGGGGAGGGTCTGGGGCTGGAAGGGAAATTTCCCAGAGCTGAACAAGCAGGGCGGAAACTCACTCACACCAGGGAAAGCCAATGTGGAAATGGCAACTCAGCATGCCTTGACATTGCCTCCAGATATTTTCCATCCTCTCATACAAGCTGGAGCTGGCCAGAAAAGAGAGAGACTTTCCGATGATAAATTTTAAGAATTTGGAGAAAAAACACGCACCTCGCATTGGGACAAAAACCCAATTGAATTTTAATTTTTTGTGAAACAACATTCTGAAAAAAAACAAGGAAAACAAATAATTTGGGATCCATCTGGTTTCAATCCCTTTGAAATATACTGTGGTGCTGTAGAATCTCTTTCAATTCTGAAAGAAAGATTGTTTTGAAATGTGTTTCGGACTGAAAAAAAAGAAGTGTTTTGGACTGAAAAGCAGGGGTGCCATCACCAAAAGCAAAGGAAAACAGCATTTCGGCCCCGACACGCAGTCTTGGCTGTGCAAGCGTGCAGCACGCAGCCTTTTCTGCAGAAACTGCTTTTTCTTAAGGAAAGCTGTGGGAAGGAGCAATTTCCAGCCAGGACCTCGGTGCGGGGCTGGTGGCTGTCACCTCTGCAGGGACACACGAGCCACCGTGTGGGCTCCCATCCCTCTCCTCCAGCCCCGGCCGGTGCAGGACCCACAGCACAGCATCACCGAAGCACGGCAAAACCACCCTGATGCCCTGTGTATTGGCCCGAGGATGCTCCCGCCATAGGTCCAGCCCCAACAGTGCACCCAGCATCGCTGGATACAGCCCCGGAGCAGCAGGATGAGGCCCGGGAGAGTCGTGCTCTCCTTGCCGAAGGTATCCACGGCCCCTTATCTGTGACGGGTCCCATGCCCTGAGCCACAGGGAGCAGACACAGCCCTCCAGCAGTAAACTAAACAGAGAGGTCATCATCCCTGGTTAATATTTGCTGCTTCTGCTGAGGACTGTATACTTTTTCATAGATCATTTACATCCAGTGAGCAGGCTGGTAATTAAATACTGGTTGTTTGTTTGGAGTTTCTCCCTCTCGGGTCACGATGTCGACGTTTTCACTAGAGAAGATGTGTCCCTGAGGGAAATATCAATTGCCGCAGAGAAATTCCCCATAAAAATACGCTGAAAGAATCCTCCTTTGAAAAATAAAATATAGTGTCACTCTCGTGCCACTGCCTCCTGCCATCTCCCTCTTTCTGCTTGCCTCCTTGTTCCCTTGTTAAGATTTCTGCCCCGCTGGACGGAGGCAGTTGGGGGTCCATCCCGGGCTGTGGCTCTGTCCCCCTGAATTTTGACTTGGGCTGTGGCTAAGAGAAGGGGTGACCCAAGCCGTGTGGCCCCCCTCTCCCCCATAATGACTTCCCCCTTTGGAGCAGGAGGCAGGAGCTGGGATGCCCTGGCTCAGCAGCAAAGAAACGCTGTCCCAGGGCATGGGCTGCTGGAGATGCTGGAGCAGAGATGCTCTGGAGATGCCTCCTGCAGCGGGTGGGTTAACAAACGCTGTGAACACCAAGGGGAATTTGGCCCGGCAGTTCAGTGTCTGCTGCCGGAGAAGAGCAGGCAGCCGGCAATACGGAAAAGCTGCCGCCACCCCCCCCACCCCCAGCCCTCCAGGAATGCACTAATTGGACTGATGAAGGCCAAACATACCACTTGTAATATATATAAATGGCTCATTAGGCAGAGAGATCGCAGCGCTGGGCTGAAGACACTGGGAACATGACATGGGGAGGAGACGCTCAGAGACAGGGCAGGGCATGAAACAGCCCCTGCCGAGCTGCCTTGCAGTTAGAGTGCACGCAAGGAGGCAACACCCAGACGAACGGGGGTTTTTGCGAAATGAGTAATGCTGCTGCTGCTGCTGCTGACTGTTGGAAATGAGGCAGGGGGGGGACAGCCCCAGCCGGGAGCAGGAGCCTGCATGTAGTTGTCTTGGAGATCCTCTCCCCAACGTACATGCGTCCTCCCCCCGGTACACGTTAAGGGTCCTTTCGTGTGCAAACGTGCACCTGAATTTCCATGGGAACATCCGTGGCAGCCATGCTGTGGGGGAAAGGGGAGGATGGATGGTTTCCCCCGCTGTGGACTTGGCTCGGTGTCTGGAGACCAGCAGGAGCCTGCATGTAGTTGTCTTGGAGATCCTCTCCCCAACGTACATGCGTCCTCCCCCCGGTACACGTTAAGGGTCCTTTCGTGTGCAAACGTGCACCTGAATTTCCATGGGAACATCCGTGGCAGCCATGCTGTGGGGGAAAGGGGAGGATGGATGGTTTCCCCCGCTGTGGACTTGGCTCGGTGTCTGGAGACCGTCCCCTCCTGCAGGCTGCTGCACCCACATGCCCTATTTCTGGGCCAGGCCTGTTGCCTGGGGGAGCTGGGGGTGCAAGGAGAGCCCAGGCGGGATGCTGGGGTGCTGAAGGAGCTGCTGGCTCGCTCCAATGCCTGATCCTCCTCCTTTCCCTGCTTGAGGGCTGACAGTGGTCCCCAGTGGTGCAGGGGGTCACCGGTGACACCGGACTCCTCTGCGTGTAGCCAACGGGATGGGAAGGTCGAGCAGCAAAGCCCTGGGCTCTCCCCTCCTCCCAGCTGTCTTCTGGGATTTGAGGTGCTCCTCTTGGGACCCCACACCCCTGGGGCATGGATTACCCCCTGGCTGAGGCCAGCTGTTAGCACCAAAAGAGGACGATCTTCTACTGAACCCCCAGTTCATGCCAAGCCCAAATTTGTGCTTTTTCCCCCTCCTTTGGGCACAGCAAGGTGTAAACAGGTCCCGTGCACCCTTCTCGCAGCCCCAGGATGGGCATGCACTGCCCTGCATGCAGCATTGAGCTCCTTCCCTGGCCCTGCACGGGCCCTGCCAGCGCTGCGTCGAGCACTGATGAACAGTGCCCGTGCAAATCGCCCAGGATGCCATGTGCAAAGCCAGTCCGCTACGAGCCCTAAATGCCGCACCAAACCTCAGGGAGATGCGGCTCCATCACATCATCAATCTTTCATAACCCCCCTCCCAGAGCACCGCTTCCCGGGGCTGTAGCACTAATGCTCTGCCTGCAGCCCTGCCTCCCCAGCTTGGCCCATACCAATGTTTTCCCCTCTCCAGGGCTGGCAAAAATTGCCTCCTGTGCTTGATTGGGCCCTTGGCCACCCTCGAGCAAATTTATTTGCAGACACTGATTTTGCCTGAGATACCTGGCCAGCTCCTGGGCACCCACACATGGGATTAGCAGGAGTCCTGCCTGGTTGAGCACCTGACGGCACAGATCCTCCCTGGGGACATGGGTGTGAATAGCAGCTGCAGAAATGTGTCCCTAGTGCCACACGTGGCCAGAAGTCTGAATACAACATGAAGAGGTGCATCCAAGGGACACCTGACTTGTGTCAGGGGAGACGGGACCCACCGGACCCACAAAGTGTCACAGACCCCTCTGCCCTCCTGCCCCCATACACAGTTGGAGAGATCTGTCACAGATGGCCCCTGGGCTTGAAGGAGTGAAGGAAAAGCCCTATGGCATGTCCTGAAACCTGCCAGGTCTCAAGGATGTGCCTCAGAAGTCAGGATTTCATCTCCCATCTCTGGCCTTCCACTGGGATCTCATCTCCCACCTCCCCGCCTCTGCCACAGCGCTCCTCAGTGACACTGGTCAAGTCACTTAACCTGATTTCCCAGTCATGGTCATGGCTTTCGAGGTGCCCTGGGCCAGTGCTGGACACCTGTGTGCAAAAGTGCTCAGTGCTGGGTGACCCGACAAAGGAGCTGGGCAAACCACGGTAAGACCTCCCACAAATGAGGAACCCCCACATCAGCTCCCTGGGGATAGCAGCGAGCTGTGCAGAGCCTGCTGAGGAGCATGGTGGAGGGCAGGAGCCGAAAGATCCGCGCGGATGGCTGCTCCTTCCCTGTCACCCTGGACCATGGCTGAGGGCGGCCATCCAAAACCTGGGGCGAGGTTGTCTCCGACATGCTGGGGCCGGGGGCTCAGCTCCCCGAGGCAGCATGCTCCTGGTGTTTCCTACCTGCGTGGGGTTTCTTCGGGTGGGTATTTTGGGGATGGTTGTTCCTCCCGTTCCTCTTGGCTCAATTCCTTACTGAAGTACCGCTCCCCCTCTCCGCCACCCCCGTTTGCACAAAGAAGACTCCTGGCCTGTGAGCCCATCTTTAGAAGCGATGTTCTTTTTATATATATACACACACGCATGCTTATATGTCTATATATATAAATAAACAGCTATTGTTTTAATTAGCCATTGTTTCAGAGCTCTGGAAACTGTTCCCTTCTGAAGACCACCCCGAAGGCAGAGATCTGCATGGGTTTACAGCTCGGCTCGCCCTGAGCTTGCCACTCAGGATGACTTTCTACACTGCTCGAGAGCTTGGGTGTGTGGGCAGCCAAGGAGGTCAGGAAAACAAAGGCCAGGGCATGGTGGTTTTCTGCCCATCCTGAGCTGGGTCCCCACCTTCCATCGGGGCTGCTCAGCCCCCATTTTGACCTCCTTCTTATGGCAGTCAAGATGATTAAGACCCTGATGGAGAGCCTGGGTGGACCCATGGTCAGAGGCATTTAATCATATATTTAACCTGCGCATCTCTCTGCCACAGGATGCTGCGGGGATTGAATTCACCCACGAGTTCAGAAAGTAATGATACAAGGTGATGGAAGGGGAATCCACTGAGCGCCATCGAACGCAGGGACCGCCTGTGGCTTTCTGAGCATCTTCACCGGGACTGACAGAGTATTACAGAGAAGCACCTATATTTCTTGGGTCTGTAATTATATTCTATAGCTATGTTGGCCTCTGTCAAAGAGCAGGCTGACAGTGTTTTTACATCTTGCACTGATGCAGACAGAGGCTGGACACACAGACTTAAGGAGGAAAACAGCCACGGAGTAATTTGCTGCTCTGCTTAACATTTTCTAAGCCGGTTGTTCAGCAGCATCAAGATTTCACCCCTACCCAGCAGAGCAGCCTATGGATCTCCCATAATCCATCCATTTTCAGCACTTCTCAAATGTAATTCTGTGGTGGAGGCTCCGCGAGCTGAGTAACAGCCCCGAGCAAATTTATACAGCTGAGATCTAAATCCCTGTGAAAAATACCGCCTTCTTATGGAAATCCAGCGGCAGGGCGAGCTGTGGTGCCAAGTTGGCACCATGGCCAAATAACAGGCAGCCTTATGAAAAAGGAAAAATGAGCAGGGGGTGAAGGGCGGGAGGAGGGGTAAAGCTTGGAATGGGGAAAGTTTCCAAGAAATCCGCTCCTTGAGCTTACTGGGTTTTTAAAGCAATATATCTCTATATATGTCCCTGGCCCTTGTGCTTGGAGAAGATCCAGGAGAAGCAGAAAGAACTAATCAAACCTCAATGAGAGCTGTTAGTAGCAGAATGAGTGCCAGCACAAAGGGGAAATTAAAGCAGCAAACCACAGATCCTAGAGGAAAAAAAAATACAAATGTTTGCTTTGTTTTCTTAGGGCAAGAATAAAATAATAATTTCAGTTGGATGGCAACTAGCACCAGGGCTGAGTTCTGTGGTTCCAGACCTGGGTGCAACCTCCACCTGCCGCTGTGCAGAGGGACAGGGTGAGGCTTGTGCTGGGCGATGGGCTCAGGCATGTTCAGCCGGGCAAACCTAGAAAGCACCTGCTTGCTACTGCTGGTCTGCTAGAAAGCATCAAACGTGACCAAGTTCAAAGCTGTGGACACCCCAGCTTGTCCTGGATGTGAAGGATAGACGTGCTTGGAGAGACCTGTGGTGCAAGAGGCGAGGATGCTCTGTGGCACTGCAGTGTGTGGCCCACAGCAGTTTCTGACAGGTTACCGTCCAGCAATGAAGCAGACTGAAATCTTTTGTGGTTTTGGCCATGACAGCTCCCTGGGAACCTCCATAGCTTATTTGTGCTGCAGGTGTTTGCCAGCAGCAGCCCCAAAGTTTGCATCTCAGCTGTGAAACGGGTTTGCATTGAACCCCAGGGAGCCTTTGCGTCTGTGCCCTGCAGCTTGTGGGAGGCTCTGCTTGCAGACCCCAACCTGCAGCCCCGAGCTCAGGTCTAACCTTTTGCTTTTGCTTCCCTGAGGGCTGGATGGAATGTCCCAGGAGCCTGCAAGCCGCGGCCAGGGATCCAGGCTGGCTGCCAGGTACACCCACAGCCATGGCCTGGCAAAGGGTGCCCAGCTCAGGGGTCTTCCTCGCACGTGGCTGGAATCAGAGTGGCACAGGCTGGGGGTTTAGCCACAGGGGTTTCATCAGCCCATGGGTGTATAAAGCCCATTGGGTCCAATGAGAATTAAGTGCCCAGATACTTTCAGAAAACTGGTCCTTTGTTGTTAAGCTCTGAATCTGGTGTCCCACTCACTGGTGGTCCAATAGATGTTCTCAGCTTACCTGTGCTCTCCCCGTTGTCCACTGGACTGACAAATCCTGTGCCCAGTAAACGGGGAAAACCAGCTTGTTCCCAGCTTTTCCAGCATTACCCTCTCTCAGCTGGCCAAACAGGTCTGCTGTCTACCCCACCATCTGCCCCGTGGTATCACAGCTTACCTTCACGTAGTCGTATTCACAGAGGTAGGATGACTCCAAGTCAAAATGCATGAAGTACAGCTTGATTTTAAATCCGTCAGGTACAGAGATGTTCCACGTCACTTCTGAGTCGCTGGGATAGGAATCGGGGAAGTTGGGAGACTGGATCTCCCCAAACATGTCCGTCAGCTCGATGGCATCCGCCGCACAGAGCAGCAAGGCACAGAAGGACCAGGTCAGGGGGTACCTGGAAAACACATGTGAGGAGGTGAAATGAAACTCTGGCAATGCCAAAACCTGTTAAGGGCTCAGTCTCTTTCCCCAAGTGGGTTGTGTAAGGTCACACACTCGAAACGGCTGGGCAAGGAGGTGCAGCACCATGTCACCTTGAGCAGCTCAACCAAGCCGCGGGGAGTAGAGTTGAGGGTGGGAGCTGCACGTGGCTCTCGGGAGGGGAAAGCCCCTTTGAAAGGTGGGTGAAAGGGGTGCAAAGGCACCTCCACAGCTCCCGGCCAGCTCCGGGCGCCATCAGGGGCTTGGTGTTTCTCATGCTTCTGGGAGCAGCAGCCGCTGGCAACAGGTCCTTTAACTAATAGCGCTCTGATGGTTAAATCTTCATTTAATGGAAGAATAAGCATAAGAATGCTTAACAAAATAATGATGCTTCTAAATCCGTTTAATGAAAGCATCATGGCAATAACTGCTAAGTATCGTTATTATTATTACTGGTTAGCCTCATCCTGCCAAATTGGGATCATTCACTCTCATTAAACAGCACACGTCTTCGCAGCTGGGCAAGGACAGACTGTGGGCCCAGCACAGTAACCCAGCATGTCACGCTCCACTCTTTTCTGTTTTTCTCTTTTCCTCTTTTCTTTTTTCTTTTCTTTTCTTTTCTTTTCTTTTCTTTTCTTTTCTTTTCTTTTCTTTTCTTTTCTTTTCTTTTCTTTTCTTTTCTTTTCTTTTCTTTTTCTTCCTTTTTCTTTTCCTTTCTTTTCCTTTTCTTCTTTTTCTCTTCAGTTATTAGGGTGCCACTCAGCCCAGATGAAGAAGCACACAGAGGCTGAGATCCTTACAGATCTTTCGTCATCAAACTCAGCTTTTAAATAATCTCAACGGAAAGAGTTTGTTCCAAGTTGTTACAGACTTGTTTGTCCCAGAGGAGGGCAGAGAGGACAGGTAAATCAGTGGCAGTTCAGCTGACCTCGCACCAGCCTCACGCTCTGTTTAAGCATGAAAGTTTGCACAAACCAAGCATTTCTCCATGTGAGGAGACAACCCCGCCCGTGCTGGAGATGCCAACACAAAAGCTTGTGCCATTGCGTGGGACCCAGAAAGAGGAGCAGACCTCAGGCTCTTTACACCCAGTGCAGTGCACAAAGGAAAAGAAACATGCAGGAAATTAGAGCCATTAGAGACGAAAATTTCCGCTTTCTAAAATAGGTACCAAGGCCTGGCAAAGGCTTCTAGGTGTGTATTACAGGCGCTGGAACTACTTACACGTGCACGTACACCCGGTTTCAAAATCAGGGCTTGATTTAGGTATGCTGGTGAGGAAACTGAAGCTATATAAGTGGATTATTTTTAACCTGTCTGTGTTTTTTCAAAATCAAGGCAGTGGATTTCTGCGGCTCATCTGTATAGTGCCATCACTTTTCCCAGCTCTTCATTACAAAGCAAAGTTAATGGGAGCTGAGAAATTGGGATTGATTTTTCTTTCAGGCAGAGTGAGGCTGAACATGCCTTTTTCTGACAGCTTGTCTGAAACCACAAAAATGTGTGAAGGGAAAATCTGTTTCTCCTCTGGTCAGACTACGTGCACTGGGGCGGGATGCTCAGCTGGTGTAAACGGGCATCACCTCCTCGACTTGAACGGGCCATTTGCCGGTGCAACTCTCTGCTTTCCCTTTAAACAGGGGAGGCAAAAACAACATCAAACTGGCTTCCCATGCCAGGAAAGTCTCAACTTCACGTAAAAGTGATAAACGACCATGGCGTGCACAGAAACCTGCAGCCCGTGCAGCACGCCCGGCCTCGCTCGCACCTTTCGCCCGCGGAGCGTGGCAGATCGATCTCTGCTTTCCCTTTAAACAGGGGAGGCAAAAACAACATCAAACTGGCTTCCCATGCCAGGAAAGTCTCAACTTCACGTAAAAGTGATAAACGACCATGGCGTGCACAGAAACCTGCAGCCCGTGCAGCACGCCCGGCCTCGCTCGCACCTTTCGCCCGCGGAGCGTGGCAGATCGATACGCCTGGGCTGCGTGCCCGTCACCCGAGGCTCGCTTCGGTTCTGCCGGGATGCCGGCACACCAGCCGGGCTGCGGCACGAAGCCAAGACACGAGCAACGCCTCGTTCGCTCGCGGATGGGGAATCCAAAGCCACGGTCATCGGAGGGAAACCTTCCCCAGAGGGATGGCCCCCCTTGCCCTGGCGTGCGGGACCCCGGGGTCAGCCCGTCGCGGAGGTTTCTTTTCTTTTCTTTTCTTTTCTTTTCTTTTCTTTTCTTTTCTTTTCTTTTTCTTCCTTTTTCTTTTCCTTTCTTTTCCTTTTCTTCTTTTTCTCTTCAGTTATTAGGGTGCCACTCAGCCCAGATGAAGAAGCACACAGAGGCTGAGATCCTTACAGATCTTTCGTCATCAAACTCAGCTTTTAAATAATCTCAACGGAAAGAGTTTGTTCCAAGTTGTTACAGACTTGTTTGTCCCAGAGGAGGGCAGAGAGGACAGGTAAATCAGTGGCAGTTCAGCTGACCTCGCACCAGCCTCACGCTCTGTTTAAGCATGAAAGTTTGCACAAACCAAGCATTTCTCCATGTGAGGAGACAACCCCGCCCGTGCTGGAGATGCCAACACAAAAGCTTGTGCCATTGCGTGGGACCCAGAAAGAGGAGCAGACCTCAGGCTCTTTACACCCAGTGCAGTGCACAAAGGAAAAGAAACATGCAGGAAATTAGAGCCATTAGAGACGAAAATTTCCGCTTTCTAAAATAGGTACCAAGGCCTGGCAAAGGCTTCTAGGTGTGTATTACAGGCGCTGGAACTACTTACACGTGCACGTACACCCGGTTTCAAAATCAGGGCTTGATTTAGGTATGCTGGTGAGGAAACTGAAGCTATATAAGTGGATTATTTTTAACCTGTCTGTGTTTTTTCAAAATCAAGGCAGTGGATTTCTGCGGCTCATCTGTATAGTGCCATCACTTTTCCCAGCTCTTCATTACAAAGCAAAGTTAATGGGAGCTGAGAAATTGGGATTGATTTTTCTTTCAGGCAGAGTGAGGCTGAACATGCCTTTTTCTGACAGCTTGTCTGAAACCACAAAAATGTGTGAAGGGAAAATCTGTTTCTCCTCTGGTCAGACTACGTGCACTGGGGCGGGATGCTCAGCTGGTGTAAACGGGCATCACCTCCTCGACTTGAACGGGCCATTTGCCGGTGCAACTCTCTGCTTTCCCTTTAAACAGGGGAGGCCAAAACAACATCAAACTGGCTTCCCATGCCAGGCAAGTCTCAACTTCACGTAAAAGTGATAAACGACCATGGCGTGCACAGAAACCTGCAGCCCGTGCAGCACGCCCGGCCTCGCTCGCACCTTTCGCCCGCGGAGCGTGGCAGATCGATACGCCTGGGCTGCGTGCCCGTCACCCGAGGCTCGCTTCGGTTCTGCCGGGATGCCGGCACACCAGCCGGGCTGCGGCACGAAGCCAAGACACGAGCAACGCCTCGTTCGCTCGCGGATGGGGAATCCAAAGCCACGGTCATCGGAGGGAAACCTTCCCCAGAGGGATGGCCCCCCTTGCCCTGGCGTGCGGGACCCCGGGGTCAGCCCGTCGCGGAGGTACTCACCTCATCGCGCTGCCCGGAGGGTTTGCCGGTGGGTTTGGCGTGGAGGATTGCTGGTGGGTTTGCCGGGGACGGCTTCGCCTCCTCCCCAACGCTCGCCTGTCCGCCTTATCTCCGTCCGGAGATTTGCGAGCGTGTGTGCGCCTATGTGTGTGCGCGTCTGGAGCTGTCTGGCATTTTCCATGCCGGTCACGCCTTCCCCTCCCCGCAGCCGTTCCCCACATC